AGGTGGAAGGAAAGGGAAGGATGCCCTCCTCCATGCATAACAGTAAAATGCCAGCATATTTATATAAACCACATACAACTGAATCCTGGCCTCACTTTCTTTCTTTCAACCCTCTGTCCTGTGGGAGCCATAGGGGGAGGTGTCATCCATAGCTTAAACTTTGACACCATCCTTGGCCACCCAGGTCTCTTTGAGGTCTTCCTGCCTCCAGTCTTGCCTCTTCTAATTCACCTTCCACTCCATTGACTATGGCCCCCAGGCTAAAGCCCAATTTCTTAGCTTGGCCCTCGAGGCCTTTCCCTATGTGGCTATGTGGACTCTCACCCTGCCCAGGTCCTCATTTCCCACACACCAACCAGACTACCAGGACAGCTTCCTGCCTACAGCATCCTCTGTGGCTCTGCTTGTCTTACCCATGCTTCATGGTCAATACAGGGAGCCTCCCAGATGCCCTCCCCCTGAGCCAGGTTGTCTGCCCTCTCTTTCTTCTTCAGGTATGGGCTCCACACCTTCCCTTAAGTGCATCCTCCCAGGCTGCCCACTTCCTCAGGCTTTTCCATCTGCTCCTGGCAGGGGACCCACAGAAGAGGCAGGCAGGGGCTGCTGAGGCTGGGGAGGGAGGATGGAGGAGGACTCCCCAGTACAGGCCCTGCAGGGAGCCCCACAGGAGGTGAACCTCTTCAAGGCGGCAGGAAACTAGTGAGGCAGGTGGGGAGCATTACTGGCAGGACTGCCACCACTCCATTTTCCTCTTCTAGCACCCAGACGGGCTGGAGGAAGGGACTCCATAGAGTTCGAAAGATGGCTAAGGGGAGCCCTGGTGACTAGCATAGGGAACTTGGAGAGGGACAGGATAAAAGGAGTAGGGGGTTGGTGAGAGGGGATCTGGGGAGGGAAGGTGTAGGCAAGGAGCTGTGGGCAAGGCTGTCCTAACTCTGCCACTTTCTGCTTTGTGGACTTGGGCAAGTCTCTAAACCTTTTGGGGCCTTGGGTCATCTGAAGCTTGTATCACACAGTGGTGAGAATCACAAGTGAGGCACAGCACTTCATCAATCCATTCATCCACCCTCCCCTCACCCAGCAGATGTGTCATGTTGAACTCCTTCCTTTACTCCAGACTGAGGGGTGGCGCCAACTGGAACTCAGAAAGAATGGAGCTGGGAGGCTGAGGCTAATACCACTAATTCTATAATCAGGGCCTGAAGGATCCCATGAGTGGAAGACAGGGTTTAAAGTTCACCTCCCTGACACTGTACGCATGGTCTGTGCTGTCGGTGGGACTGTGATTTTCCTTGTGATGGGACAGTGCTGATGGAAAGTCATGGGATAAAACCAGAAAAGTTCCACTCTTTGAATCTGCCCTAAAAGGCTTCCAGCAGGAGAGGATTTTCTAAAAGTTATCTGCATGGTCAGAAAAAATGGGCTTACACAGAGGCCCACGACTGGAGTGTGTATGTGTTGATGGGGCCCAGGGAGTGCTGGGCATGATGCGGGCACTCTGGCAGAGACAGTCTGGGAGAAGTCACAGGGAGTTCTCTTCCATCCCTCCAGGTGCACTGCGGCCAGCTGAGTGACAGTGAGGAGTGGAACCTGCAGGCCGTGGAAAAGCATGTGAGTCCTGGCGGGTAGGGCTGTGGGAGGATGGGGGCTGCTGAAGATTCTTATTACAGCTGGTGGGGAGATGACCTGGCAAAGGAACCGGACAGAACTGGGTTCAAGTTCTAGCTCCATCCCCTTTGAGCTTTGGGACCTTGACCATGTCACTTAACCTCTCTAGGCTTCAGTTTCACATCTGAAAATGCGGATAAAGATAGCACTAACCTACCTAGGGTAATGATGAGATGTCAAATACCTGTACATAACTTAGGCAGGACTAATTACATAGTGAAACTGAGGCTCTTTTCAGCAGGAGATTTTAGGATTTTGTGACTTTAACAAAGCCTTAAGAGTCCCCGCCGGTGCTAGAGACAGAGAAATCCTCCCTTGGCCTATCTTGAAAGAATCTGAGGGCTAGCGATGGAGACACACCCTATTTGTTTATCCACGGAGGGACGCTCCGGGGCAGTGGGAACCCCGGGTAGCGTGGCATGCTGAGGGCGGAGCTGTTTGGGCTGGGCGGGGCGAGGGTGGGGCCAGTGGCGCGCTGACCACTCGGTCCGCCCCAGACCCTGGTGGCCCTCAGGAGGGTGCAGGCCCTGCAGCAACGTGGGCTCAGCGCGGCCCCTGCAGCTGTCCAGAACCCCCCAGCGGTCGCAGCGGAAGACCCGAAGGGCGGGATAGAGTACACCGACCACGACCGAAAGATCCTGCAGCTCTGCGGTGAGGGTCCATCCTGGGCAGGTCGGGAGGGCGGGGCAGGTAGAATTGGAGGGGTGGGAGGGGCCTGAGAGGAGTTGGGCGGCCCCGCCAGAAGTTGGAAGGGATGCCTGTGGGCTGGGTGGTCGGGTGGGGTCGGGGTCGGGGGCGGAGGCGGAGCCTTGCGTAGTCCTGGACTTGGCGATGCGGAAGGGACCTGGACCCGGCCACCTAGGAGAATCGGGGCCCTCCCTGACCCGCGCCCTGTCCTTGCAGGGGAACTCTACGACCTGGATGCCACTTCCCTGCAGCTCAAAGTCCTCCAATACGTGAGTCCCTGAGGTCCTCCCACTCTCCTCATGGTCCTGGCTCCCTGCAGGGACCAACGTCCCCCAAAACTCTCCATCTCAGTTGGTATTGCTTGTTCCGCCCCTCCCTTTCCTCCACAAACCTGAAGAGCCTCCAAGAGGCGAGAGGGTGGGGTGGGGTGACTTCATACCAACCATTCGCTGTCAACCCTTCACTCTGTCCGTCACCCTTTCAGCTTCAACAGGAGACCCAGGCATCCCGCTGCTGCCTTCTGCTCGTGTCTGAGGACAATCTGCAGCTTTCCTGCAAGGTGAGGGCCCAGGTCCATTGGCAGAGGGAGGGACCTGGGTTTGCCTTTCCACTAACTGGTCCTCACCTCACTACTCGATTTCTCAGGTCATCGGAGATAAAGTGCTGGGGGAAGAGATCAGCTTTCCCGTGAGTCCCGTCTGGGTCCCCTGTGTTGGAGCCTGCAGGGACTGCTAAGACCTGCTAGGCAGTTGCAGGGGGGAAGGGGGTTCTGCCTGAGGAATTGAGGTCCTCTATAATCTCTTGGAATCTGGTGAAATTAATCTGGATCTTGGGATCTGCTTAAAATTACAAGGCATCTCGATATGTTATGATCAGGCTCCACTAGAACTCTCTTATCATATACAGGAAGGCTTACATGAGGACCAGCTCAGTTCTAAAATACTCTGTTGGAGTATTTTTAGATATGAATCTGTCGAGATCAATGAAAATTCTTGGAGTCTGCTTATCGCCCCCCTAATTTGGGAAGAGCCTAGAGTCTTCTATAGATGATTCTTCCAGACCTCCCCCTAGCTCTCTGCTCCTCAATATTTAACTCCATACACTATTTGGACTGACTCATTGAAACTGGGGATGGGTTGAGATCCCCTGACCTGGGGAGAGCTGACCCCTGACAACCTCTCCTCACTCTCCAGTTGACAATGGGTCGCCTGGGCCAGGTTGTGGAACACAAGAAGTCCATCCAGCTGAAGGACCTCACCTCTGTAAGCCATGGCCTGCTAAGCCAGGGGAGGGGAAAAAGGGAGGACTCCCTGCCTAGCCCCCAGAACCTGCCCTGACTTACTCCCTCTCTCCTCTCCTTTGCAGGAGGATGTGCAACAGCTGCAAAGCATGTTGGGCTGTGAGCTGCAGGCCATGCTCTGTGTCCCTGTCATCAGCAGGGCCACTGACCAGGTGGTGGCCTTGGCCTGTGCCTTCAACAAGCTTGGAGGAGACTTGTGAGTCTGGGTGGGATGATGTGAATCAGGAGCTGGAGCTGAGGTGGGGCAGGGCTCTACTAGGATAACAGCTTGGGAAGGGGACTACACAGAGAGTATGCTATCTAAGCAGTGCTGGGCTGAACAGTTTGTCAGTGCTAGACTATTAGGGGCTTCTAGACCCTTGTAGCTGTTGCTGGCTGAGGCACAGGTAATCCCAGACTCTCCATCACCTTTTTGACTTGGTTAAAGCCATGTTAATATCCAGTCTGATTTCCCCTCCCTTTTTGGAGAGGCACTTGGGCAAGAGCAGGAGGACAACCCAACAAGGGCAAGCCTCTAGTCTGAGGGAGGAGACTTGGCCTTGGTCCCGGTAAATCCCCAATCAGAGGAGGGATTTACAGCTCTGGTTTTAAAAAGCAGTAGCCTTGTGGGTGTCATCGGGGCACCTGTTGTCCCAGCTATCGGGGAGGCTGAGGCAGGAAGATAGCTTGAGCCCAGGATTTCAAGGCCAGCCAGGAAAACACAGGGAGTCCCTGCTTCAAACAAAAACAAAACAATAGCATGAGAATAAAACCACACTTTAGTCTGAGAAGTACAACCTTCCCCTCAGGGAGCTTTCAGTCTAAGGTGGCAGGCAGGCAGTGGAGCAGCCCCAGCAGAGGAGATATATGGTTGGCTGGTGGCTGCCTCTATGGGTTTCTGGGGGCACAGAAGTACGGAGAATTGGGGAGAGAAGCTTGCTTTCCCTTCCCTCTTCAGTGACCCCAGCCCCTCCCTCCAGGTTCACAGACCAGGATGAGCATGTGATCCAGCACTGCTTCCACTACACAGGCACAGTGCTCACCAGTACCCTGGCCTTCCAGAAGGAGCAGAAGCTCAAGTGTGAGTGCCAGGTGAGCGGCCTGCCTTGAGCCCCTCCCGGGACGAGTTCACCCAGCTCACCCAGCTCTCAGGACGAGAGAGCCAATCCTAAGGAGGTATCCATGCCTTCCTGGACCAATGGCTGCCTTGCCCTGCAGCAGCTAGGTAACCTAGTAACCTGGCGGCCTCTTAAGAAGAGAGGTCAGTAGTTTCCTCAGGCCCAGCCCAAGCAACACGGCCCACAGGCACTGATCGCCCTCTAGTGTTCAATGTGGGCAGTTAGACAAGAGATATCTTCCCACTTTCTCTGGGGCTATTTCCTCACTTCTTTATTTATTAGCCAAATGACATATTAGATATTGTCATATTGTAGCTTGTCCAGAGAGCACAAAACAAGGAATGGGAAGCCCCTGGGAATTTTGAAGTGGGGAACTGGATAGAGGGTCCTCAATCGGCTATTATTTCCATTTTCTCCATTCCAGGCTCTTCTTCAAGTGGCAAAGAACCTCTTCACTCACCTGGGTGAGTGCAGTGTCCTCCATGTGAGGCTGTCTGGTTAGGAGGGGTGGGAAGGCTTGGCCTCAGTACTACAACCTGGTGTCAACACTGTGCCGTTCTTCTCCCTCCCCCAGATGATGTCTCTGTTCTGCTCCAGGAGATCATCACAGAGGCCAGAAACCTCAGCAATGCAGAGATGTGAGTGGATCTTCCTAGAGGGCTGGAGGGAGAAGGTTCTGGGCCTCAGTCCTCATTGCCTCCTTTCCTTTCCCCCTTCTTCACCTCTCTGCCTTCCTGTGGGACTCCACTGTGTGTGTGTGTGTGTTGCCGGGGATTGAACCCAGGGCTTTGTGCATGCAAAGAAAGCACTCTACCACCTGAGCTATATCCCCTGTCCCCCCACTGCATTTTGACTGATCCTTTATTTTGTACTTGTCTCCCTACTGGAAGGTAAACTCCACTGACAGCAGAGCCAGGGCTAGCTTTGCTTGCTGTGCCCAGCTCTTATCACAGTGCACTGCACATAGTAGTTGCTCTTTCGAGTAGACAAATGCCAGGAGCCAGCCAGACCTGAAGGGGTCTCACTCCAGGCCATTCCTACTAGTTCTCAGAAATCTGGTCTCCACTCAAATCATAAGAAGTCGGGGTGGGGGGGTGGCTGGAGGGATGTCAGGGCTCTGAGGACTAACCTTATCTCCCCACAGCTGCTCTGTGTTCCTGCTGGATCAGAATGAGCTGGTGGCCAAAGTGTTTGATGGGGGCGTCGTGGATGATGAGGTGAGGGATTATGTGGTCCTGGGCAGCGGTGGGGGTGTATGTGTGAGGGGGTATCCGTGAATCCTCAGGGGGCCCTCGGTGGATAGGCCACTGACAATCCTTTCTGCTCCTTCCTTGCTGTGGCAGACATACGAGATCCGCATCCCTGCCGATCAGGGCATCGCGGGCCACGTGGCCACCACCGGCCAGATCCTGAACATCCCAGACGCGTACGCCCACCCGCTTTTCTACCGCGGCGTGGACGACAGCACCGGCTTCCGCACGCGCAACATCCTTTGCTTCCCCATCAAGAACGAGAACCAGGGTGCAGCCTCGGGGCAGCGGGGGCGGGGCTGGGGCGGTGCAGTCGGGAGGGGCCTGAGCGGGGTGGGCGGGGCTCGGGAGGGCAGGTCCCTGCCCGGCCCCTCCGCTGTGGTTCCTAGCCCTTCTCCCTTCCCCAGAGGTTATCGGTGTGGCCGAGCTGGTAAACAAGATCAATGGGCCCTGGTTCAGCAAGTTCGACGAGGACCTGGCCACTGCCTTCTCCATCTACTGCGGCATCAGCATCGCCCATGTGAGGGGGAGGGACGGGGGCGGGGCTGATGAGGGACATCCCCCTCCCCATTTTACTTCCTCCACCCTCTCTCCCTACTGGGTCTAGAAGGTTCATTTCCTGGGATGGGACTTAGATCCTGGGATGCTGCTGAGGTGCCACGCAGCCTTCAGTGCTCTGGGCTTAGTTTCCAATTGGGGATACTATTTCTTGCCCTGTCCACTTAGCCTCCGGGTATCATGAAAAACCCTGGTTGCTGAAAATCTACCCCTGTCCTTCAGAAGCAATGACCTCAACCCAAACCCCTGGTCAACCTCTTTCTGACCAATATTGGGTCTCATTGTCCAGCTTGTTGGAAGTTCTGACCTGAGAATTCAACCCCAGATCCCTGGCAGGAGTCCCCTCCTTGCTGCTCTTCCTTCCATGGGCCTTGGTATTCATCACAGGAGTCTGGGCCAAGCCCTGGAGGGGTGCAAAGTGCCTCAAATGTGAAGAGGACTGGGGAGGTGGTTTCGGGAGCTCTGGACATAAGTTAGAGGTGGGGCCTGTACTCTGGTTGGAGCCCAAAGGCTCAGACTGGGGTCCCAGTGGGCTTCTGTCTGATCCCTCTGTACCCCTTTTGGGTGTTTCAAGGATTTCACAGTTGTCTTGTTTGAGTCCTGTCTTTCTCTCTCTCCCCTCAGTCTCTCCTATACAAAAAAGTGAATGAGGCTCAGTATCGCAGCCACCTGGCCAATGAGATGATGATGTACCACATGAAGGTGAGGCTTGTGTGGCGTTTCTGTCCTTTTCAGGGCCATCTGCTCTTGTACCCTCCTTCCCTGCCTTTCAGAATCTTCAACAGCCCAGGTCAGGGCTGGGCTTTCTGACTGATTGATCTCCTAGGGTAGAGAAGACAGACCCAAAGCAACACCTGGCCTCCTGCTCTGCTCAGGGACAGCTTCCCCAACCCTTACTTACAGACCTCTCCTCTAAGCTGTTTGTCAGTTCAGCACCAAGGCTGCAAGTAGCCTGCAGGCAGTATTCTACCCAGGGAAGAACTTGATTAAATCAAGTATTTCCCAAGTCCAGGGAGTAAGTCCCATCTTGGGAATTAGTGAAAGCTGGGAAACCCACTCAGGGCTTTTCCCCACCACTTCCCTGGGTATGAGAGTTACACAGTCCTGGGAAACCCTAACTGCTGATGTTCTAGCCCATTCACAGGTCCTGTGTCAGAATAGCTATTTTAAGCCTTAGTTCACAGTATGTGATCATCATTGTTCATTTGGACATTTCTTCTCATCTGTGTCCAAACTAAAGGGTCCCAGACTTTGTGAATAGGCTAAAAACTGTCATATGAAGAATTGAAGTTAGACTCTAGGAAGGTCTCCCAAGAGAAGGACTGCTAGGTTAGTTAGTGTCTATGAAAAGCCACCATGAGTTGAGGTCACAAAGGGGTGTCTCCCTGTCTTTGTGGAGGATAGGATATCTGCATAGGTAAAAGGTGGTCACCAGCAGGGAGGTGGGTTGTAGGGCTGGGTGAGGAGGGTGGAGATCTACCCATTCATAGTTCATAGGGTAGGGGCTCAACTGGGTTGCATTCTGTGTGAAGGATCCCCCACCTGCCATGGGAATTTGAGTGAGGACACTGGACAGGGAGGAAGCCATTGTCTAATTCTCTGGCTGGCTTCTTCTAGGTCTCTGATGATGAATATACCAAACTTCTCCATGACGGCATCCAGCCTGTGGCTGCCATTGACTCCAACTTTGCCAATTTTACCTATACCCCTCGCTCTCTACCAGAGGATGACACTTCCATGGTGAGCTGGCCCTCCCCTGCTTGACTGGGAAGTGGAAGGACATACAGTCAGAGATTTAAGTTAGATGTGCGTAAGAATTTCCCATAAGACAGGGTCATCAAGGAAGGCTATGGAGGCTCCTTTAGAGATGGAGTGGGCATGTGGTCTGTCATTATGGGGCTGTGGAGCTGTCCAGGGCCCAGGGGCTGGACTGGATGATCACCAAGAACAGCTCCAGGACCACTGATACTTGAGCTTGTGGCTTTAGGATTTGCAGCCCCTGCCCCATTTTTCTAAGATTTTAGGTGAGCTTGGTTCCAAGAGTTCTTAGTGCTAGGGCCCTTAGATGTCTAAAAGTTCACAGACATGAGAATGCTTGGTTCAACAATCTTATGATCCTTTAATTTAGATTTAAAGTTATAAGACTCCCAAATTTTGAGCTGGGACTTCAAAAATGTCTGAAGCAGGAGCCCCATCATGATACTGACAGTTCCTCTCATCCTTCTCATCCATTTCCTCCAGGCCATCCTGAGTATGCTGCAGGACATGAATTTCATCAATAACTACAAAATTGACTGCCCGACACTGGCCCGGTGTGTGCCCCTAGCCCTCCCCTGGGTGCAGACAGCCTCACTCTCACCTCTCTGGGTTTCTCTGAGTACAACTGCAGGAGGCCTAGTCTTGTAGGGTTGGGGAGAATGCATGAATGAGATGCAATTTGGATCATGAATAAAGGAAGGCAGAGCCCAAAGGGCTTCCTGGAGGAGGGGAAGCTGAGACCCCTCTGCTGCCTCCTGTCCTCTCCCAGGTTCTGTTTGATGGTGAAGAAGGGCTACCGGGATCCCCCCTACCACAACTGGATGCACGCCTTTTCTGTCTCCCACTTCTGCTACCTGCTCTACAAGAACTTGGAGCTCACTAACTACCTCGAGTGAGTGGCTGCACCTCCCCCACATCTGGCAGCAGCTGAGGTTCCCTCCCCTGGGAGAGGGAGGCACCTCCTATGAGGCAGGTCCTGTACCTGCACACTCATGGAGTCTTCTCAGCCCGGGGAGGAAGGTTGCATAGCCCCCGTCTCCAGGAGGGACTGGCTCAGGATTAGGGACTAGTGGGCCTGATCCCCACCTGGGTTTGCCACACTCCAAACCAGTGCTTCTTTCCAAGAAGGAGACTGGGGTGTCCCAACTGCCTGTTTGGGTGGCTGCTGGACACTTCCCAGCTGTCTGTCTTCTGGGGGGCTCAGAGAGGGAGCTGTGGGTGACCTTTCTTCTTTCTGGCTCCTAACCAGGGACATCGAGATCTTTGCCTTGTTTATTTCCTGCATGTGTCATGACCTGGACCACAGAGGCACTAATAACTCCTTCCAGGTGGCCTCGGTGAGACCTGCCCTCCCCAAGCAGGAGCCCTCCCTGATGTCTGGGAGGAGAGGTGGGGGCATGAGACGGGGAGCAGTTTTAGAGCCTGGAGAGGCCTTCTGGGGTTGCCCAGGGCTCTCAGAGAGGCAGGAGCGGGGCAGTGGGTAGGAGCAGAGGCTGCTGAGTCTCCACTGTGGAAGATGCTTGGATCTGAATGTGAGGAGTGACTGGAGTTTTCCTGGGCTTTTCCAGAAATCTGTGCTGGCTGCGCTCTACAGCTCCGAGGGCTCTGTCATGGAGGTATTGTCATTCTGCCCTGACCCTCTCTTGCTAATCCCCATAAGGCCAGTGACTTGCAAAGTTAGACTGTGACCCAGCACCTCCTGTTCCCACACCAGGCTCTCTAAACAGACTGTGGGAGCTGCCACCACTCCCAGGGCAAATCTGGCTCATTTTCCTAACTGGATTGGGGGGTTTGTGGGTGCAGATGGGTTTGAGAGTGGGGCTGTAGGAACTGCCTGAGCCAGGTTTGCAAAGTGACTACTGGGTGTAGGGTGTGTCCCTTTGGCTGTGTGGGTCAACCTCGGGCCCCTGTCCAACTCAGCCTTCTCAGCTTTGTCTTTTTTTTTTTTTTTGTACTGGAGATTGAACCCAGGGCTGCTTAACCACTGGGCCCCAGCCCCAGCCCTGTTTTGCATTTATTTAGAAAAGGGTCTCACTGAATTGCTTAGGGCCTCGCTAAGTTTCTGAGGCTGGCTTTGAACTCTTAATCTACTGGAATTACAGTGGCTCAGCCTTGCCTTTGATTGTTGGGTCCCCACCCTCACTTGGAGGATCTTTGGATCAGGACCAGGTCTGAGACATGTCTGAGTTTTCTGCACTTGTCTTGGCTCAGGTGGGAGCCAAATCTCCAAGGTCACCTTGCCCTAGGCTTCCTCCCACAACACCCTTCCAGAGGCTGCCCCTGTTTTCACACCCCCAGAAATGCATGTGGTGCTCGCCTTCTCCCAGGAGACCTGGCAGCAGCCCTGGTTGTGCCCTCTGTCCCCTGGCCTCAGCCAGCTCCTCCTCCGAGTGACAGCCTTTCAGCATCTGGAGACAGGGCCTTGCTCTCGCCTCCTTGTCTCGCCTTTCCTTGTCAGCAAACAAATGTTTTCTGCATGAATTAGTGTCTAAGACTTCAAGGAAACCTTTCAAAATTTTTCCAACCTGTGATGCCTTTCAAGTTTACTTTACTGGGTCTCTCCATGTGACAGCTGAGGTGTCTGTGGCGTGGAGCTGGACAAGGACTTGCCCTGGGTCACCCAGAGGGTTGGAACAGCTCAGAAAGGGAAGCAGAACTCCTGAGTCCCCTTTCTACCTGCTCTGCTAGGCTTAAAGGCCCAGAGCCCTGTGGGGTTTGACTGCCTCTTTTGGGGTCAGGATGTGGGGAGCCCCTTTGCCCCAGCAGTCCCTCTCTTTTCTTC